TTTTTTTTTCTTGGTGTTGGGGATTAAATCCAGGGCCTTCCACATGCTAAGCATGTTCTCCTCCACTGAGCTACATCCCTGGACTTTCTCATCACTTTATCATAATGCCTGATGTAGCATTCATAGTTTAATAAGACTTATGAACAACTGTGGGTGGCTAATACTTATTTTGTTTTGTAGTCATACCAGGTACTATTTTAAACAACTCACATGGGTTAATTTATTTAATACTTAGGAAAACATCTATGCCATTGTTTCTGTTATAATCTCCAAATAATAATGAGGATTTTGTGTTTTGTTGTTTTTGTTATTGCTGTTGTTGTTGTTGTTATTTGTTTTTGTTTTGTTTTGTTTTGTTTTTTGCAGTGCTGGGGATGGAACCCAGGCCCTTATCCAAAGTAGGCAAGCCTTCTACCATTGAGCTACTCCCATATCCCCCTCTATTCTTTTTTTATTTTTCTTTTTTGGTACTGGGGATTGAACCCTTAGACACTGAGCCACATCCCTAGCCCATTTTATATTTTATCTTGAGACAGGGTCTTGCTAAGTTGCTTAGGGCCTCACTAAGTCACTGAGGCTGGCTTTGAACTTGTGATCCTCCTTCCTCAGCCTCTTGAGCTGCTGGGGTTACAGGTGTGTGCCACAGCAGTCTGCCTCTCTATTTATTTTTACATTTACTCTCCAATATCTGTCTATAAGCTTATATGTGGTCCCCTACATTTTTACTAAAACCCTTCCTTTTAGATATTGTGGATTTATAAAATACTTTTCTTCCCCAGATATTCTGCATACCACACTACCAATCACATGGAGACTTTTTGTGTTTATGAAAATGTCAGTCTGGACAGAGCATAAAGATAAGCATCCTAGTCCTGGAAACACCGTTTACTTAGGCCATTCTTTTACCTTCTAACCTCCCAGATTCCTCATAATTTAGGTATGGATAATGTAATGATCTTCCAGAGGTGATAAGAACATTAATTAAGGTAATGCTTATGAAGACACTTTATAATCTCTAAAGCACTAGAGAAATGACATTGATAATATTTATATATGACCTTCATATTTTAAAAGATGCCCAAGAAGCCAGCAATGGAAGAAAATGATCCAAAGGGAGTGCCAAAAGCAGTTGGCTCAGAACAGGCTCAGAGACAACTATACCCGTTAGGAAAAGCAAGTACTTCTGGGAAGCAAAGTGAGAAGGTATCAGGTGAGAAGAAACAATTCGGAAACAACCCCTCTGACTTCCCTGGATCTGTTCAGGGGCATGATCTGGGTGTGTGTCTTGGACCCTTGACAGGCTTGGGTCCAAGCTGTGCTTAGGAGCTCACCCAGTGCCAGCTGAGATATTAGAACTTGACTTCAGAATCACAGATTTGATTCATAATGCATCTAAAAGCCAGATGACTTTTCATCTTCTAAATTTTCTGAACTCCATATTATTAATCCATAAAATGGAATTTAAGAACCATAGTTCATAATTGTTTGGAAGCCTTACATTAAATCTAGAAAACCTCACAACATGACAGTTGCTCAGGTAATTCTATCCCACTTGATAACCTAGGAACATATCTTAATCAACTCAATGTCTAACACACATATTCCATTCACAGATACACACTGAATGAAACAAGAGTGAATGTTCTAGTGAGAGAAGAATTTGGGAATCTAAACCTATAGATGGGAGTGATAAAAAGCTAAAACTTGAACTGGGAATTAGTGTGTATTTGTGCAGATCTAAATGTCCCATCCTTGCATGTAGAGGGATGGGGCACTTGGGAGGGAGGGGGCATCTCCTTTTCTGACAAAACAGGCTTACCATTCCGTATGGCACCCAACCTTCAATAACCATCTCTTCCCTATCTTAGGACCCAGAAAGAAGAATGTGAATATCTGGAGCCACAGGTTGCGGGAAAGGAAGTATCTCGTGGCATATGAAGAGATCAGCGACCCTGAGGAAGAAGACTGACTCTGTAAATGACCCTTTGACACATCTTCCATGCCCCTGCAAATATGCTGTTTTGTTCTTATCTGGTCACTTGTTCTCCAAACTCATTCACTTCCCATAATCCCTTGGAGTGCATCATTGAGGCTAAGATTTCCCACACTTTTCTACTCCCTACTCTTGTGTATCTGAGGTCCTTTCCTATCCAGGATGCCATAGGCTCCCAAATCCCAGGTCAGCTCCCAACATGCAGGCTATACCTTCTTATAGCCTAAGAATTCATAGAACAGGACAGGTGAGAAAGTCCCTGTGGCCTAAGCAGAGGGCTCACTTGGAGGAGTAGAGGTCCTGACCTTGGGCAACACAGAAGTGTGTGCGTTCTGCAGGTCAGGAGGAAGAGTTAGCAGTGGTAACTCACTCTCACTTCTTTTTCTTCTGTCTTTTCCCCTCAGCTTCAGGGATGTGACCTTCCCATGATGAGAAGCAAAACGTGGTGACCTTTTTTATAGTCATGGGCATGGCTCTGAACTTCTGACCTTCAGGTGTATAAGCAAGCTAAAGGAAGAATTCATAACATTAAAAATTTAAGCATCATTTATTTTTACTATATGTTATGTATTCTGTTAGAATTTTTCTTGCTATATGCCCAGCAATCTGTTAGATATTAGAATTTATTGGGCAAGACATATACCTAATGTATATATCTGCCTGTGTGTATCCATGTGCCTATTTTCAAAAACAAATATTATTAGATATTCTCTGCATTGAACAGCACTACCTTTCCTCTGCTCCAGGTGGGCCTACCAAAGACATAGATGTTTAATTACAGATTTTTCTCTGCATTTACACACACACACATACAGGGATATCACTATGGGCATCTCTTCTCTGCTTTGCCCCACTACTAAGTTGTCTGTCTGGACAAGTTCCCCCTCAGTCTGTTTCCTGTTCAACACATGCTTCATGCTGCAAACTCCCATCCTTCATTTATCCTGCATCTGTCACAAACAATAAACATTTGCAAGTGTTTCCTTATCAGTGGCTCCTCTCATTCTTGTATACACAGCTTTGTGCATGTGTGAGTATTTTTCTAGGATAGATTATTAGAAGCAGAATTGTTGCATCAAAGAAAGCATTCATTCAACAAACACCTAATGAATGGGTACTGAGTGCAGTGCACTGTCCTAGTTGCTGAAGAGACATCAGGGAACCAGGCCAATCAACATCCCTGTCCACATGGAGGTGGTATTCTAGTGGAGAATTTTATCAGTTTTTATATTGATAGACACTGTTCACCCCAGTCCTAGGGTGATATTCTGCAATAGATGATTGGGCGCCTTGGCCTTTGCAGTCTCATTGATCTTCAGCTTCAGGGGCTGAAATAGTCTCTTGGAGAGTGTGTGGAAGGAGACAGATGAAACCATCAATTGGAGAATGTGAAGGAACCAGGAAGGAATGTCCACTCTCCACCATGTGGTGGGCAGGAATAGAAGTTTCAACTTGGTCTCAATGCAGGGGAGCAATAGATAGAAAAGTCCACTGGATAAAGGCACAAGACTGCCCATCATGGGTCTACTGATGTATCACCCAGCTGTGTAACCTTCAAAATTAGTGATTTTTAAGTCAATTCAGAGAAAGTAAAGCTAGAGGATTTGTTTAGGTTTTTCCTAGGCAATGGTAGTGAGGCTGGGGAGTACAGAGATATGCAAGATGAGTAGAAGAGGAGTTGGGCAGAGAAACAAGGGAGACAGGGCCAAGTGTGGGTTATCAAGGCCACCAGAAGCTGGGTGTGGAGGCATATGCCTGTAATCCCAGCAACTCAGGAGGTTGAGGAGGAGGATTTCGGGTTCAAGGCCAGCAATTTAGCGAGGCCCTAAGGGATTTGGTGAGACACTTATCAAAATAAAACATAAAAAAGGCGGGCTGGGGATGTACCTCAGCATTTTCTTTAGTACTAGGAATTGAACCCAGGGGCATTCTACTGAGTTACTGGGCTAAAGAATTTGGTGAGACACTTATCAAAATAAAACATAAAAAATGGGCTGGGGATGTAGCTCAGCATTCAGTCCCCCCCAATACAAAAAAAAAAAAAAAGCCACCAGAGGGAGGAAGGAAGTTGTAAGCATGAGTCCAAGAGCAGAGGTTCCCCAGAACATCCCTCCTGGCACTACAGGGAAAGGTGGGTGCCACTTGGGTAGACATGGACATGGCTCTACCTGTGCCTCAGAGGAAACAGACTATCTTGCCCCAATATAGTTTATTATTACAAAAAAATGTAATGTTCTGCTACTAGAGATTGAGTACTTTATTCTCCATGCAATTAGGAGATACTTAAGGATTTGATTTTTCTTTCTCCCTTTGGAAGATGGAATTCATGGTTGGATCACTCTGCACATTAGACAGAAGTAGGTAAGTGTGGGTCAAAGATTCTAAGTCAAATCCGGTGTGGTATCATATGCCTGTAATTCCAGCAGCTTGGGAGACTAAGGCAGGAAGATTACAAATTGGAGGCCAGCCTCAACAACGTAGTGAGGCCACAAGCAATTTGGTGAGACCCTTTCTTAAAATAAAAAATAAAAAGGGCTGGGGATGTGGCACAGTGGTAAGATTCCAAGTCATAACAAAACATTTTCTTTTTTTTTTTTAAAGAGAGAGTGAGAGAGGGAGAGAGAGAAAGATTTTTAACATTTATTTATTTATTTATTTATTTTAAGTTATTGGCGGACACAACATCTCTGTCTGTATGTGGTGCTGAGAATCGAACCCGGGCCGCACGCATGCCAGGCGAGCACGCTACCACTTGAGCCACATCCCCAGCCCAAAACATTTTCATTAGGATCTTTGGGGTACATAAAGATACCTTGCCACATTCTTCCATCTCTTTCTTCCCCTTCTTCTATTCCTCCCCCTCTACTCCCTCTGCCTCCTGCCATGTGACAGATTCAAATTTTGTGAATTTTCTGACCCAAATTCAGAATATGTGAGACTTTGGATTTGCTTGACCCCACAAACAGCCTTCCCCTCCCACCAAGCCTGAGGCCTAGTGTGCATGAATATGTCTTTTTTCTTTAGTACTGGGAATTGAACCCAGGGGCATTTTACTGAACTACTGAGCTACATCCTCAGACCTTTTTATTTTTTTTTTATTTGAGACAGGGTCTCTATAAGTTGTCTAGGGCCTCACTAAGTTGCTGAGGCTGGCCTTAAACTTGTGATCCTTCAGCCACAGCCTCTGGAATGACTAGAATTACAAGATATGTCCTTGTGATAAGGATCCAAATTACTTTTTCTCTTTTATCTTGCAGTCTTAGTTTTGTTTTTCCATAATTTTTAGTTGATTCTAAAACATCTTTGTTCCAAGTAGAGAACTAGAAAAAAATGCAGTGACAAGTGATAAAAGAAAGTAGATTTTATTACAAGAAAAGAATTCTGAGCCAGGCTCACACCTGTAATCCCAACAACTGGGGAAGCTGAGTCAGGAGGATAGCAAGTTGGAGGCTAGCCTCCACAATATAGCAAGACCCTGTTTCAAACTAAAAATGGCTAAGGATGTAATTCAGTGGTAGAGTACCCCTGGGTTCAATTTCCAGAAAAAGAAAGGGAGAGACAAGAGACAGAGACAGAGAGAGAGAAAAGATCTGAGCTTTGCTCACCAAAAATACATTCAGTAAATAATACATTTTCCCAACTGTATCTAAGGGAATGGTATTTTATTGGAGAAACTTTAGGCCTCTGACAGAGGAGACATCTCTGTAGGGGTAGGCAAGTAGAAGGAGGGCACAGTTCTCAAGACTGTTAACATCTCACAATGCACTTATTATGTACCCTCGTCAACTTTGGGTAATTTGCTATGGAGTAGACAGGTTGAAGATTGGCCCTTCTCTACAAATGTGGGTTTCTCTCCATTTTGTTTGCAAGGAACTGAAGTTTCACCCAGCTCTGATAACACTTCTTAGAATTCCTCACCCTTAGGCGTCCTAATCAGACAGCAGGTAGGGAGTTCACAGTATAACATTTGAGTGTTGTCTGCCTAGTGTAAGGGTAACGGTGCTAACAGCTCAACTAGCACCCTTTAGAGTATAGTTTGTAGCAGGGCACGGTGGTGCACACCTGTGCACATGGTGGTGCACACCTGTGCACACAGCTTGGGAGGCTGAGGCAGGAGGATCGCAAGTTCAAAGCCACTCTCAGCAACTTAGCAAGGCCCTATGCAACTCAGCAAGACCCTGTCTCTAAATATAAATAAATAAATAAAAAGGGTTGGGGATGTGTCTCAGGGGTTAAGGTTCCCTAGTTCAATCCTTGGTACCAATAAAAAAAAATAGTCCTATAGTATAATTTGTGCTTCCCCCCACACACACACTACTGTGGAATTGAACCCAGGACTTTGGGCATGCTAGACAGGTTATCTACCACTGACACACCCCATAACCCAGATCTTACTCTTTCTATCCACTTACCCTATACTTAGGGTTTCACTAGATATATTCTTCCCTTCTTAGTTGTCTTCTCTTGCGTGTTTTTTGTTTTTGTTTTGTATTGTTTGTTTGTGTGTGTGTGTGTGTGTGTGTTGGTTTTGTTTTTGTTTTGCATTTTGCAGTGCTGTGATGGAACCCAGGGCCTCTGTATGCTAAGCAAGTGCTCTACCACCAAATTACATTCCCAGCCCTTCTCCTGCTTGTTTTGACTTGTAATTCCCTTCACCCTCGTATCATTTGAGCTGCTTTCTATTTTTAAAGAATTCTTCACAGATCATGATCCTCAGATGGCATCCTCTCTTGTTTTCAATATTTGGTGAAATATTTTGTCTTTTGAGAGAATTGGTGGGGACAGAGACAAGATTGCCTGGTTCTTTGGGCAAATTTGTACTAGGGATTGAATCCACTTCCACCACAGAGCTACATCCCTAGCCCTTTTTTAAAGTTCTTAGTAAAATTGTTATAGTTTGATTGCATCATGTCCATAGAATGTCACTTGTCATTTTTCTACAGTTGGGAGAGAGATATCAAGACTGTTCAGGCCACTGGTGCACAGTTGGCACACAGCTGTAATCCCAGTGATTTGGGAGTCTGAAGATTGCAAATTTGAGGCCAGCCACAGTAATTTAGCAAGGCCCTAAGCAATTTAGCAAGACCCCGTCTCAAAATCAAAAATAAAAAGGGCTGGATATGTAGCTCAGTGGCAAAGCTACCCTAGGTTTAATCCCCAGTACCAAAAAAAGAAAAAAAAGATTGTATAGGCTGGGTGTGGTGGCACATAATCCCAGTAATTTGTGAGACAAATGCAAGAGAATTGCAAGTTTTAGGCAAGCCTTGGTAACTTAGGGAGATTCTGACTCAAAATAAAATAAAAATGGCTGGAGTTAAATCCCTGGTAGCACCATGACTACCAAAAAAAAAAAAAAAAGATTGTACTTGTAAGGAGATCAGTGGAATAGAGCAAGCAGATGTGTGGGAGATGGAAAAGAGGAGGAAATATGATTGATAAAATTATGTGCATGTACAAATATGGCTTAGTGTATTGTGTGTTTTATAATGCAGCAATAAGCAATAAAACTTTTTAAAATATGCTACTTGGGGTCTAATACATGATCAATTTTTTTTTCATGTTGGCTAAAATTTACCCTTTAAAAAGAAAAAAAGTTTACCCAATAGGCATTAACTCTGCTGCAGTTCTAGATTGGATCATCTGCCCTTTCAGCAGCTGTCTGGCAAGCCAGATCCCACACTTTGGGTGTAGTATTTCAAGCAATACAAAATTGATGAGAGGAACCAGAAAGTCCAGGTATGCTGCTCACTGGCCTGTCTGCACAGCAGCACTCAAGGGTAAAAACTACATACTGCCACACAAGTCCTGAATTCACCTGGAAACTGGTATGGCCTTCTGTGCTACTTAATTTCCTTTGTCTGAAAAAAACAATATAACTATCTCTGTAACAAGCAGATGCTGACAAGCTTGAAGTAAGGCACCTAGGAGAAATTCCTCTGGTGACAATCACATGAAGGCACTATCCTCATTGATTTTCATATTTCAAA